TATACATTAAAGAATTGCATTCCCTTCTCTTAATCATTTCTGAAGCCACTTCTAGAATTGTGTTCAGGATGAAGCCAAGTCGAGGTACTGCTGACTATATGTAGTGAGGTCTCTGAAGAGCTCTACAAAAGAGATAGAACACTCATTTCATTGAAAATAAAAACAAATATCCTTTGAAGCCATGGGTTCTTCTTCGTTTCTTGAAACTGTGAATTATATAGATGAAATTTTATGCATTTGTACATACCTACTCAAATGCTCTGAAAAAGACTGATTAATTATTAAACATAAATAAGTGGCTTATAAAATTTTCTTCTTGTCTCAATTAAATACAAATATAGCATATATAAATCAGACACCATATTAGTTACTTTCTGTTGTTCTGACAAAATCCTGACCAAAAACAATTTGGAAAGAAAAAGAGTCTATTTGGTTTACACTTCCTTTCACAGTTCATTACTGAGGAAAGTCAAAGCAGGGATCCTAGCAACAACCTGGAGGGAGACAGGAGCTGAAGTAGTGACCACTAGAGGGTGCTGTTTAGCAGCTTACTTTAATGACTTGCTCAGTCTTGAGCAAAAAAATGACATGCTTTCTCACAAGTGGCGCTTTCCCACATCTGTCAGTAATCAAGAGAATGACACATGCCAAACTGATGGAGTTAACATCTCTAGTTCATGTTAAGTTGACAAAAACCTACCTGCCCTGACACGTAGCTAATTTGCTGTAAGTTAGGAAAGCTGCCTTACTGATCTATAAATGCTATTTCTATCTTGTTATTTCAACATATGGAAAAGGAGAAATCAAGTATAAATAAGAAATGAGACTAACTGTGTCTCCAAAGAACTTAGTAGATGCCAGAGACCATAATGGTAGTTTATTGCATTGATACTTCTGAAAAAACTAGAATTATTCACGTCAACTCTGTAGGTTAGAAAGGGGTAGGGGAGGAAGGCTAAGACAAGGAAAGAGAATGAAAGGAAAATATTGTAATTTGTTCAGATAAGAACCTAGGATTGATATTTTAGTATAATTTTTGGCTATTACAAATTAAGATTTTACTTAAAAAGTAGTAAAATCAGGGCTGGAGAGATGCTTCAGCAGTTAAGAAAACTGGCTACTCTTTCAGTGGATCTTGGGGTTTAATTCCCTGCATCTACTCTACATGCTGGTCCTCAACTATCCACAACTAGTTCCAACTATCCAGTTCCAACTATCTACTTCCAGGGGTTCCAATTCCTTCTTCTGGTCTACATGGTCACCAGACATGCATTTGGTATGTAGGCATAATACAGTCAAAATGCCTATATATATATATTAGCATAAGCTGTTTTCTAGACCTCTGTGCTGAGACATTTCTCTATGTTATGGCATGTGATCATGACTTCTCCCCTGTAAAGCATGTGTCCATCCACTGGCATTGGACTGAAGGTAAACTGTTGCTTCCAGTATGCCCAGTCTGTTTGCACATGAATGATGTCCAGAAAAAAGATGATGTCAGTTTACTGCTGACATTTTCTGTCTACCAGCAATTTGCAGAGGGGATGCTGAGAATAAGTTGGTTAGCCATGGCCTTATCATGGAGATCACATCAGGTGGCCATATCAAGACTTAGAAAGCTACAAACAGCCAAAGAGCGAGGGATGTAGCTTAGTCAGTCCGAACTCTTTATCCCTAATACAAACATAATATTTCTTAAGTCATATATGATGCATGTTAAGCACATAACCCAGTTTCATTACTTAGATAGCATTAAAAAGATAATGACTGCAATTAGTCTACTTGTCTTATCTGTCTAAAGTACCATTACACATTGAACATATTAAAAGAGAATACAATATTTCATTCTCACAACCTCAGGGAAAAATAAATAGCTGGCAATATATGTAAGTGTTTGAATTTGTATAATATGCAAAGACCCATAATATATTAAAATACCAGTGAATATAAAAAATTTATACTGATAGATAACATTTAAACTAAATGAACTTGAGGTCAGCCTGGCAAGTTTAGCCAACCAGGATACACAGATATTTTGTTCAGAAGAAAGAAAGAAAGAAAGAAAGAAAGAAAGAAAGAAAGAAAGAAAGAAAGAAAGAAAGAAAGAAAGAGAAAGAAGGAAGCAAAGAAAGAAACAAAGAGAGAAAAGAAATTCTGACATCTATCATCTGACATTTTGTCTTTCCTTAATTCTTGCTGACATCCTGTGAATATAAATGTTTAGTAAATTATTATCATATATGAGTGTACTTGCCCACAGGAAAATACATAATACTAAAAAGGAAATATCATTATGAATTTAGGATACTTATGCATGATTGGTAAGAAGACAGGATTGTCTTACAATCCAGCATTTTCACTTCTATAGAAATATACTCCCAAATTGAAAGCAAAAAGTAGGGACACTAATGTGCACATAAGTTTTATGAAAAGTAAGCTGAGAGTAAGAATCCAATAAGCCTCAGCAGATACAATATCTATAGGGCTTGGAACCCTATAGGAAGAACAACAATATCAACCAACCACATCCCCCAGAGCTCTCAAGGACTAAACCACCAACCAAAGAACTGGACCCATGGCTCCAGCTGCATATAGCAGAGGATGGCCTTATCTGGTATCAATGAGAGGGGAGGCCCTTGGTCCTGTGAAGACTTGATGCTCTGGCATAGGGGAATGCCAGGCAATGAGGTGGGAATGTGTGAGTTGGTGGGGGAGCACCCACATAGAAGCGGGGGATTGGGGGTAGGATAGGGGGTTTGCAGAGGGGAAATCAGGAAGGAGGATAACATTTGAAATATAAGTAAATAAAGTAACCAGTAAAAATGAATTCATAAAATAGATAAATAGCATCAGTTTCCAGAAGCTGAGGGAATGGACAGACATTATTCGATGGGTATATACCACACATTTCTGGAAGTATATAATGAAGAAGTTTGCACAGAATTGTAATTGTACCTAGTACCACTGAATTGTATAACCAAAACTGCTAATTGACTCTCTCTCTCTCTCTCTCTTTCTCTCTCTCTCTCTCTCTCTCTCTCTCTCTCTCTCTCTCTCTCTCT